TCGAAGACTTTTATTTCTCACAGCTTTCATTGCCATTCTCGTTCTCCCCTCATTACAAAGTGAAGAGATTGAAAGATTCACTAGAATATTAAATAACCGACCTGAATTCCTAAAAAAAATCTCTAAAAAATTTATAGAAGAATTCACTAAAAAAGGGATAAAATGGCCTAAAGAATTGGCTGAAAAATTGGCTGAAAAATTCCCTGAAAGATTTCCTAAAAGATTCCCTGAAGAATTCTTCACGGAATTCATTGAAGAATTCCGTGAAGAATTCCCTAAAGAACCCATTGAAGAACTAATTAAAAGATGCGGTGAAGAACTCCCTAAAAAAATCCGTAAAGATTTCCGTAAAAAATTCGGTAAAGAAATCAGTGAAAAATCAATTGAAAGACTCTATGAAGAATCAATTAAAAGCTTGCGTCAAGAATTGACTGAAAAATGCCCTGAAGAATTAATTGAAGGATTCCCTCAAATTTTTACTAACCCTTTCATAGAATCGAATAGTGAATTCCTTGATGAATACACTAAAAAATTTATAAAAGAAGTGGATAAAGAATTGATACAAAAAGACCTAGAAGAATTCTATAAAGACTTCGATAAAGAATTCATAAAAGGCCGCGTTAAAGAAATCCTAGAAACACTGATTGACGGATTCCTAGAAGAATTCCTAAAAAAATTGACTACAAAATTCCCAAAAGGCTCCACTCTAAAACCTAATAATTCTCGCATGTAAGTATTTCCGACTCATGTTAATCCTTATAGACAAGTTGAAAATGATTCACGTTTTGATGCTTTTTAAAAGGAAATAAACCCACCGCAGAAGCCTCTGATCTAAGAATAAATTTACCGTTGTTAAGAGCGCTAAGTAATAATGGCATGCAAACATCTTCCACTGCTATAATCGACAGCCTAAGCTTGTGCTGGCCGCAGCAGACATGCTTTAACGAGGCTCGGTAATCCTGGAAATGCACCGGACATTGTATAAACCGTGCGAGTATCGGTTGAATTTATTCTGCATTTGGTCCTGGGCTTATCAAAAAGGCACACTAAAGCAATCTTATGGTTAATATATGTGCACATTTAAGATATTTAAATCAAGTTACTTCGATCAGATAAAGAATTTTATCGGTGAAACTGGCCTCTTTTCAGGTGGGTTTAGCATTTTAATGAGCGGATTTAATAAGCATTACTGTATTTTATTTGCTTGCTATATCTTGTTCCATTGACAATTGATGAATTCCAATAAAGCTTGAGATATGAAAAGCGATTTTTGCATGATGTCCTAATAAGAGCATTATTATAGGATATAATCTCACTCTTGGATAAAGGGAGAAATCAGCCTCGATCATAGACATATCCACTAAATAACATATTGGTGTGTATTTCTTGTAAATATAAGACTTGATAATTACATTTCCAGATTTTAATTGTCCATTTGGGCAATTGGTGAATCTAAAACTATCATTGGATGCACAATTTCCGGCGCGACAAACAATATGTACAATACTAACAACTTGTTCACCAATCTTCTGGTTTCAATGAGGGTGTGAAAATTTCTGTTTCTCATATCTTTCTTTGCTTCTTTGCTTTCTACTCAACAAACGCCGAGGAGGATCTTGAAATGAAGAAATTATTGGTGTATGCTGAAAAGAGAATGAAAATTGATGTTTAGATGCGGGAGTTTCTTGAAGGGATTTATAAAATTGATAAAGACCTGCTTGGACATGAAAAATCG